AAAAAATGAGTTCGCGTGTCACCTCTGACACGCGTGTCATAGGTTCGCCATCACTGTCCTAGATGGACAGATGCAGGGGCTTGTCAGTTGGATGAATTGGTGGTAGGATGCAATCCAGAGCTTCAAGCAGTGTGCTTCCAGTGCATTGCCATCTTTACGGTTGACTTTCCACTCCTTGAACCAAGGCACGTTAGCACTTCGCTGCAGCATGTTGTTGCCATTCCAATCAGAAATTGGCACAAACGCTACTATGTCAGGGTTGTAGCCAATTTCCATATGGCAGGTTCTTCCTTAACAATTTCCTCATATCTTTTCTGACCATAGAGTGGCTCAGTGGAATCCATTCTGTTCATGTCAACAACTAGTTGTTTCACACCCAGTGGTGTGTAAGCCAGAGGGCATGCTCACAGGTCTGCCCATTCTTGGAGAGAGATACCTGCTTCTAATATACCAACACCAGCAGCAACAATCAAGACAGCACGGTCAGCTTGAGATGTGCCTGTAATCATGTTTTTGATACAATCTCTGTGTCCTGGGGCATCAATGATGGTCACATAGTAGTTGCTGGCCTCAAGTTTCCACAGGGAGAGACCCATGGTGATACCACGCTCATGTTCAGCTTTCAGTTTATCCAAGACCAAGGCATAGTACTTGAGGGAGCCCTTCTGCGTCTCAGCAGCCTCCTTCTCAAATTTTTCAGTGGTTCTTTTGTTGATCCTGCCACATTTGTGAAAGATGCTGGAATCTACATGTGCAATGAGATGTTGATATGAGTCTTTTCCTTTCCCATTTTGGCTTACATTTAGCAGTGGTTTTTAGGACACCTGTGTTCTGGAGGCAAAACCATTGCAAAAATAGCCTCATGGAGATGTTAGAGTGAATTATTTTTTTTCCTTTCGCTTCTGGCAATATCAGGACTTTAGACTAACTCCTGACAATGTGTTTTAAGGGATTTTCAATAACTGGGGCACTACCTATTATTTAAATATTGGTGGAAATATGCTAAAAATTGGGCAGGTAAAACACAGGAGAATGGATATCAGTGTTTCAGTATATAAGTAGTTACTTCTAGGTAATGCATTGATAAAATGTTTTCTTCAAATTAGAGCTTTCTTCTTATTAATTAGATATATCTTTCAATGAGGTCATGTCAGTAAGACAAATAAAATGGGCTGTAAGGGTATTGGTCATAAGTAGTTAAAATAGCAATATTCAGTTTGTAAAAAAAGGTCAAGTGGGATGTTAAACGGTAAGAACCATGTATTTAACGTTTATGGTTTTTAAAATTTATTTTTCTAACTTACTATGGCAGATGGTATGTTAAATGCTTTATATACATTATTTGATTTCATTATCGTGTAATCCCATGAAATATGTACTTTTATTATCCTCATGTTTCAGATAAGGAAACTGTGGCCAGAGAGGTTAAATTCAGATTATGCAAAGTTCATCAGGGATTGAGCCAGGATTCCCACGCAGGTCCAGTGTGGTTCTGAAGCCCTTCTTAACTGCTACACTGTGTTGGTCTCTTCTGGCTTATGCCGACAAACAAGGTGGTTGTGAATTTTACTAAGCCCTCGGCACTCCACTTACCTATCCTGTGTGAAGAAATAATGGTTCATTTACAAAACATGCCACTGAATGTTTAGCAGCCTGTTTTCTCACATTTCTGGCAATAGATTTTGTAATATATTGAACTAAATTCAATGCAGTAATAACCTAAATTTCTAGAAGTTGCATAGAAACACATTAGCAAGCTTTTGTTGCCTGATAACTTTATTTTGACTCAGATATTCTATGAACATCTTAAACTTTGGTTGGCAATGTAGAAAATTATTTTACAATTGTTTTAGGGAAAAGCCAGGTATTAACAAAAAAATTAATCTGAGACAACAAACACTGTTTTAAAAAATAATAATAATAATAATAAAGTATACCTTTGAAAAATCTTCTATACACTGAATAAAATTTTAAAATTAATTTATAGCATATATTTATATGTGAATGATATTTATATGCATCTATTTCTAAATTTATGTTTTTATAATAGAAACAACGTGCATGCTAAAGAACTTAAATTTTACTTTTTTCTTCACCTTTAAAACTAATGGAAAGTTGTTTGTTTGTTTTTGTTCTCACAGCTGAATTTTTATTCCTCTTGTGGGGTGTTTATCTCTGCTATGCAGTGCGGACAGTCCCATCAGCATTTCATGAGCCACGCTATATGGCTGTTGCAGTTCACAATGAGCTGATTATCTCTGCTATATTCCATACAATTAGGCAAGTGATCTGTAGAGCTAGAAAATATTTGTTTTATTCTTCTGATGTGTTGCAGTTTAATTTAAATAGCAAAATTTGGTTAATGGAAATTTAAATAATGGAAAGATTTAGGAAGATGATATTTTATAATTTTATTAATTTCTTTGGCCCAGAAATGGCAAATGAATATAGTTTTTAAAAAATACCCAGAACCGGTTTGGCTCAGTGGATAGAGCGTCGGCCTGCGGACTCAAGGGTCCCAGGTTCGATTCCGGTCAAGGGCATGTACCTTGGTTGCGGGCACATCCCCAGTGGGGGGCGTGCAGGAGGCAGCTGATCGATGTTTCTCTCTCATCGATGTTTCTGACTCTCTATCCCTCTCCCTTCCTCTCTGTAAAAAATCAATAAAATATATTTTAAAGAAAATATCTATTTTTATTAATTTTAGAGGGAGAAAGAAAGAGGGAAAGAGAGGTAGAAGCATCAGTGATGAGAGAAAATCATTGGTTGGCTGCCTCCTGCATCAATGGGGATCGAGCCCACAATTCCAGCATGTGCCCTGACTGGGAATCAAACCATGACCTCCTGGTCCATGGGTCGACACTCAGCCACTGAACCATACTGACCGGACAATAGTTTTGTAACTCTACTGTTCTTAGTTCCTTCTGATAGGATATTTATTGCCTTCATTTATTTTGAAGGTTAACTCACTTATGTTAAGGCCCTTACAGAGATGTCATTTAATATCATTTATGATATGTAATACTTTTTGTTCTGAAAATATAAGGCAATACATACATACATTACAAAGTAGATTTAAATCGTCTATGTTTTCATTCATGTTTAATATGCTGATTTATACTTTCAAAATTTTAATACTCAGAGAGACAACATATGTGTGTGAATTCTGCTGAATTCAAAACAAACAAAAACCACTTCAACCTGATGACTCTATTTTTGTGTGCAATGAAGATTTGTCGTCATTGCATTTTAGCAGTAATGTTCAGTGGTAAGAATGTACGGCATGGCCTGCCACACCTGATGACTCTATTTTTGTGTGCAATGAAGATTTGTCATCATTGCATTTTAGCAGTAATGTTCAGTGGCATGGCCTGCCACTTTTTGATGTCACAAGTATTTCTCTAGTCAATGAGTACAAAGGAAGAAAAAGGTGGCTTATGATAAGTGAACAAAATGAAATATGTATGGCTTATCTTCTGGGAATTTTCACCTGATTCATATTTGAAAATGAATTGAAAAACTCAGTGAAGACCAAAAATAAAAAAGAAAAAGAAAGAAAGAAAAAGAAAAGAAGAACAGGAATATTATAATTTAAAAAACATAAAAAATATGTCATTCAATTTCTCATCATTATTAAAAGTTAGGATACACTAAAAAATGTAATTAGAAACTTTGAATATTTGTCTTTATCCTCAATAGAAAAATAGAGATTAATAATAATGGAAGTCAGGGTGGCAGGTTGTGAATCTGTGGAAGTTTTGTAGGATAATTATCATCTTTCACTTTAATAAATAATCATAAAATGATATCTTGCACTTAGAAGTAGCTGATGCCAGAGAGGAATAGGGCCACAGGCATAATGTACTTTTAAAACTTTTAGTAAGAAACAGAGGTATTTATGATGACAGCCCTGAAATGCTATCAAAGAGCCAGAATCAAGGTAATTTGATTTCTCACTTTTTCTTGCCCCCTAACAAGAGAGAAAGAAGAGACAGAGTACAAGAGGAAGGAAAGATGAGAAGAAAAATATGAAATTATAAATAGACAAGGAGGAGAATTCTACACAAACTAAAGATTCAAGGCTCTGAGAGCAGGTGCCCTTGCCCAAAATGCAGTGAGCACCTGAGCGCACCTTTTCTTGGTGCCTGAGCTCCATAGCCTTTACTTTCCTCCCAGACCATCTCCCAGGAAAAGCTGCATTTAAGTTGTTTCCAAGATATCAAGCACATAATTTCAAGATCTAACAAACATGCTGCTCTAAAAACATTTATAAATTAAATGTTACATTAACAAACCAACTAAAGAGTTATAATCATTCAAGAAGGCTTATTACAGATGAGTTTAAATGTCTTCTATTGTCAGTGTGTAACTGCCATGCAAAGGGTTTCCCACTTCAGCCCTATAATTACCTGCTATATTTCTTAGAACCAAATTAATTACCCAAGAAATTAAATCTGTTCAAAAGTTAAATAAAATGACCTATATTCTTTTCTACCTTGATTTACTTTTCATCATTAAATATTTTTTCAGTGAATTTTAAACTCTTAAGTAGAACACTGATTTTAAGGGGATGAATAGAAAACAATAAGCAGTAATAATTAAGCCATGTATGCACAATTTATTATTTAGACATGGACTGAATTCATAAATGCTTGGCTCTAATATTGATATAGTCCAAGTATAAGAAAAAAATAACATAACAATTTAAATTAAGTAGATCAATTTTAGTAATATTTTCCTGGAATAAACTATTAAATAAGGCTTCTGACATCAGCAAGGGTATTCCCTATCATTAGGACATATATACTCTTTTTTTGTCTGCTTAAGATATAAAATTATACATATGTATATAAATATGAGTATATATGCACATATGTATACATACATAAATGAAAATTATGACTCCATATTATATACACATGTACTCTCATTCTTACCAAATTGTCAGCTTGAACAAAAATAAATTACAAGGATTAAGTCTAGAAGGTGAAATAATGCAGAGGGTGTTTGCCCAGTCTGTTCTAATTCTTTACTTACTGTTACTACCAGGCATAAAGCAAACTTTTGAGAAAGTATAAAGATTTTTTATAAAGTTTGCTTTTATTCTTGAGCTCAATTTTCAAATATTTCTATGTTTCTGACTTTCGGAACTATCTTTTAAAAGTTGAAATACTCTTTTTAAAAATGAAGCTTTAAAACTACTGCAAAACCCAGTTTCTCTTGAGATATTTCTGGTCAGAACTGCAACCCGAAAACCCAGGTAGTAATTAAAAGTTAATTTAAGAATAATTGATATCAATATATGTCAAAATTATTTTTAAAAGATTCACCATTTTAATTCTAATTAATGCTTTTAAATAAAGAATGTAGACTCAAGAGTTATTTGGATATGTTTTACAACCCAATTTTGCCAGAAATCTTCACTCAGTTTGTAACAACTCTTTTATTGAGTCAACATGTTTGCTGCTTTTTCTTTGTAGATTAAACCTACATACAAAACAAGTATCTGAGGAAATGCTTAGTACGTTATATTTGTGCTGTCTTTCTAACTGGATAATAAATTATAGAGAGTTCACTATTATGCATTCAATTAGGGTAGCCTAGACCCTTGTTCGTCTATGATGAAAATATGTCATAGTAACAATATAATTTCTTTTTCCTGCTTCTTTTTATGTTTTTCTTAATATATATATGGAGTTATAGAGCTTCTAAGCTTCTAGTGCTTTATGTAGAGATCTTGTTAGATTGCTAACTTGGTGAATTCTCATTTCAGATTTGTCCTTGCCTCAAGGCTTCAGTCTGATTGGATGTTGATGCTGTATTTTGCACATACTCATTTGACTGTGACAGTCACCATTGGGTTACTTTTGATTCCAAAGGTATTCCTCTGACATTACTTTTCTCTTCCAAGACAATTATCTTATATGAGCCTCAAGTTGTTTCTCCTTTAAAACGACCTGGCAATCTAGGCAAAGGGAGGTGCGGAGATTTGCTTGACATCTAAAGTGTTTTTAAAGCTCCCTCCTCAGGAAAGTAGGTGTCTGTTTGTTTGTTGTTGTTTTTTTTTTGGGGGGGGGAGGATTTATTAAATATATCACATAATTGTTAAATGACAATTAGTACAAAACCCATCATCTGCTTTAGTCCTTTTCCAAGTATTTCGATATCCAGTTATGTTTTAATTATTATGGATTCAAAGTGGCTTTCATAGTAGCTATAACATCAAAATAATTTTTAAAGAGAATTATACTGTTCTAAGAATTCTCTTATTTTGGATTTATATTCAGAGAAATTATTTTAAACATTTGGACAATTTTTATTTAAATAGAAATAATTATAATATTATACATAGAAAAGTCTTGCTTAATAATGATAGATTATGACAAAGACTTATGTAGGCAGCATAATGAAGCAGGGAAAATGGTCCAGGACTCAATCAATACATGGATCCTAAACTCAGATGAGCTATATAATATGATATTAGCCAAGACTTTTTATCTCTTTGAGTTTGTTTCCCCATCTATGACATGATCGTGATAGCAATAAGGTTGCCTGGAATGAAATAAAATATCAGAGAACTAACAGATTATATAAATGACAGCATTATCATTATTTTCCTCTTTTACAAGAGCTCAGTCTTGGTCACTGCCACACAATACTCCATTAGCATGGCTGAAACAAGAACTGTGATTTCCTGTCTTTCACCCCAGGCTTTACCTCAACCCTCAGACTTAACCAACACATTGAGATGCAGCCTGATTGAAAAGGCCAAATGATTATTTTTAAAAAGCAAATACCTATTTTCTTCCTTATTTCAATTATACCAAAAAGCCACAATGTTCATGGATTAGTCTGTTACTGCGACTTATCTTAACCATTTTTATACATTGCATAATATGATATCATTAGATGTATGCATACTCAGACTATTTATTCATTCATTCAATAAATTGTTATTGAGGTCCTAAGAAAATTGAAAACATAGGTTCATACAAAAACTTGTACATAAATGTTCATAGTTGCACTATTGATTCTAGCCAAAAAGTGGAAGTAACCCAAATTTCCATCAACTAATAAATGTATAAATAAAATGTGGTATATCCATACAGTGGGATATTATTCATCAATAAAAAGGAATAAAGCACTGATACATGCTATACCTTGTACAAAACTTGATAACATTTTGCTGAGTGAAAGAAGCCAGACACAAAGGGCCACATATTGTATGATTCAATTTATGTGAAAAGTCCAGGTTAGACAGCTCTATAGAGACATAAGCACTTTAGTAGCTGTCATGGGCTAGGTTTAGTGGAGGACAAATGGAAATGACTGCTTAATGAGTTAAAGGTTTCTTTTAGGGGTGTTGAAAATATTCTGTAAGTCAACCTTGTGGATACTAAAAACCATGGAATTGTATAATTTTATGGTATGTGAATCATATCTCAATAACCGATAATTTTAAAAAATTATTGAGGGGCTTTGCTAAGCACTGTTCTAGATCCTGGAATACAGTAATGGATAGATAAAAATCTGTGCTCTTGTGGTAATTATATTCTGAAGGACATTATGAGAAACAGAAAAGATAAATATCTGAAATAGCATTTTAGAGAGAAGCACAAAGAAAGATTAAAAAGCAGGAAGTGGACCATATCTGACAAATAACTGTTTCTTAAACTCATGATAGTCTCTAAGCCTTTGCTCAAGAAAACAAAACAAACAAACAAACAAAAAAACACACAAACAAACAAAAAAACACACCTCCATTCTCATAAATAAGCTCCAGGTGATTTGACTAGTAGCACGGGATATTTTAGAGGACAGGGACTATATTTTATTCATCTTTATGGCCTTAAGTTGACGGTACATGTTGGAACCACAACCATAAGTAGAGCAATGAAGGAAAGGCTCATCAGTTTCTGTGGTTTCTCTGCCAGTCCCAATTACAAAACAGTCATTGTTACTTAAAAAGAGAATTATCATTTCACATGGTATCTCTATTTATGTTTATTTTCCTACCCAAATATTTTAATGGACAATAACATTAAAATATCTCTATTATCAAAGGGTGATCTGTTAATTTTTAAAAAATATACTTTTATTGATTTCAGAGAGGAAGGGAGAGGGAGAGAGAGATAGAAACACCAATGATGAGAGAGAATCATTGACCTGCTGCATGCTCCCTACTGGGGGACCTAGGGGTCGAGCCTGCAACCGGGCATGTGCCCTGATGGGGAATCAAACCATGACTTCCTGGTTCACAGTAACTGTTCTCTCAATTTTCATAGGACAATCACTTGGTTTACATATTGTGTGAAGAGTGGCTGGGTTGTTTTAATTCTCCCTGCTTTCCATCATGTACCCAATTCACTCTTCCTCCCTTCTCCTTTTGAAGAATAGAGATAGTAAGAATACATGAAACTGAAAAATATCAAAACACCACATGAAAAATAATAAAAATATGTCAAAATATGATGAAGGAGGGGCTTGAGAAAAAGATTAGGTAACTTCACTGACTCTTTTAATTTTGAACTTAGATACCATGTAGCCCAGAGTCCTTTAGGCGGAGCAGCGCTGTGCTGAGAGGTCCATGCTTGCTTAAGACCTCACTGTCAACACTGCGAGGCTGGAATTCAGATCTCCTGCTCCCCGAGTCTTAAAAGAAAGCTTTAAAAAATACTTTAAATTTCTTTTTAAATTACAGTGACATACAACATTATATTAGTTTCAGTGGTACAACATAGTGATTAGACATTTATATAACTTACAAATTGATGCCCCCGAAAAGTCTAGTACCCACTTGGCACCATACATACTTATTACAATATTACCAACTATATTCCCTCTGCTATACTTTACATTCCTGCTTGAGAAAAAGATTAGGTAACTTCACTGACTCTTTTAATTTTGAACTTAGATACCATGTAGCCCAGAGTCCTTTAGGCGGAGCAGCGCTGTGCTGAGAGGTCCATGCTTGCTTAAGACCTCACTGTCAACACTGCGAGGCTGGAATTCAGATCTCCTGCTCCCCGAGTCTTAAAAGAAAGCTTTAAAAAATACTTTAAATTTCTTTTTAAATTACAGTGACATACAACATTATATTAGTTTCAGTGGTACAACATAATTAGACATTATTTATATAACTTACAAATTGATGCCCCCGATAAGTCTAGTACCCACTTGGCACCATACATACTTATTACAATATTACCAACTATATTCCCTCTGCTATACTTTACATTCCTGCGACTATTTTATAACTACCAATTTGTACTTCTTACTCCCTTCACCTTTTGAAAGTAGACTTTTTTGAAGCTATGTGTGGTAGACTGAAAGTCCCATTTCTGTGATCAGGGCCAATTGTGCCCAGAGATGAAATACAGCCTCCCCTATGTGAAGCAACATGATAAACATGACGCAGTCCCTACTGCTCAAAAAAAAAATCCCATCCAGCTGCCAGTGGGTCTAAACTGCTACTCTCAGAGAAGATTTCTGTGTATTCTGTACTTCTTTGCAAAGTGCAGATATTGTGGAAGAGGAGAAATATAAGTTGACACTGGGAGCCTAGATAAAAATCAAACAGGGAACAAAGTACCTCAAGTGTGTGACATGGAAAGCAACACACTAATGTAGTGCAAAATTTTATAAAGAGTTCAGTGAACAAATTCATCTAAGCTGAAGAAATGATAATAACGTTAGGACTTTTAGAAAATTTTTATTAAAATGCTATGTCTTACAGTAATGTCTAGAGCTCAGATTGAATATCTATTTCAGTTTTCACATTCAAGCAATAACCCACGCGATGACATTGCTACAGAAGCATATGAGGATGAGCTAGACATGGGCCGATCTGGATCCTACCTGAACAGCAGTATCAACTCAGCTTGGAGTGAGCACAGCTTGGATCCAGAGGACATCCGGGTAACACCAGTATTTCTCTTCTATTTCAGATTAGTCCCATTTATACAGGCAAGCATGTGTGGGTTTGTGTTTATGTGTGTTCATGCGTGTGCATATGTGTGTTAGAAAGAAAATGAGAAAATGTGTGCTTATGTACAAACTGAAGACATAAAGTGCAGAGTTAATCCTGTTCTAAAACGTGTAATCATGGTATAAATTAGAATGCACAAACCAATCTTGATAGTCTCAACTGACTTTTTGGCAGTCATAACGATGAACTTGTTATACATGTTCCATAATATGGTTTGTGACATTTTGCTGTGAGCAGAGAGCCTGGATTAATTAAAATAATCTGTGGCGATATGTCAGCATTTGGAGGAAGAAGATGCTTTTAGTATTTGATGGCCTGCCACCCCCTAAACGTAATCTAACATTAGGTACAACTTTATCAATGGCTACATGATGCTCCCAATATTGTTGCAGGGATATGTTTTATCAGTAGACAATATGGTGTGTTTTATTATGGTCCAGGCTCAGTCTGGCCCACAAAACTTGCAAGTTCAAAGTTCTTGCTCCATAAAGCAAGGCTAGCATGCATGGGTTTATGTCTTAAAGTGTCAACTCTGTGTGAAACCAAACACGAAATAATCAGAAAGTAAGAATGTGGAGAAAGTTGATGAGTAGAAGTGTTAGGAAGAGCTAAACAATTTCCATAAAGAGCTCAAGCTTATTGAATTAAAATGACCATCAGCGATATTATTTGGCTGAAACACTAAATTCCACACCTCTGTGAATTTCCTCTTGTTCTTGCAGGATGAGCTGAAGAAACTCTATACCCAGTTGGAAATATATAAAAGGAAGAAGATGATCACAAATAACCCCCACCTCCAGAAAAAGCGGTGCTCAAAGAAGGGCTTGGGCCGATCAATCATGAGGCGTATAACCGAGATCCCAGAGACGGTCAGCAGACAGTGTTCCAAAGAAGACAAGGAATTCACAGATCACAGCACCGCCAAAAGCACTGCCCTCGTTAGGAAGAACCCACAAGAGTCGTCAGGTAACACGGGGAAACCCAAGGAGGAATCCCTGAAAAACCGAGTCTTCTCACTGAAGAAATCCCACAGCACTTACGATCACGTGAGAGACCAAACGGAAGAGTCCAATAGCTTACCCACTGAAAGCCAAGAAGAGGAAGCCACAGAAAAATCCACACTGGAGTCTCTGTCGGGTAAAAAACCAACACAGACACTGAAAGAAAACAGCGAGGCTGAGTCCACGGAGTCTGTGCCTTTGGTGTGTAAGTCAGCGAGCGCTCACAATCTCAGCTCAGAGAAGAAGGCCGGGGGGCATCCCCGAACATCCATGTTACAAAAGTCTCTCAGTGTCATAGCAAGTGCCAAGGAGAAGACTCTTGGGTTATCTGGGAAAACCCAAACATCAGGTGTGGAAGAACGTGCTAGATCCCAGAAACCTCTGCCAAAAGATAAAGAGGCCAACAGAAAACCCTCAAATTCAGATAACACAGAGACTAAAGATTCTGTCCCCCAAAACTCTAATAATTTGGAAGAGCCGAGAAAACCTCAGAAATCTGGGATTATGAAGCAACAAAGGTCCAGTCCCCCTACTGCCAATTCTGACATGAGCCCAGGCACCACCCAGATGAAGGACAACTGTGACATAGGGGAAGTGTGCCCTTGGGAGATTTATGACCTGACCCCTGGTCCTGTGCCTTCAGAATCAAAAGTTCAAAAGCATGTATCTATTGCGGCTTCTGAAACGGAGAAAAACCCAACCTTTTCCTTAAAGGAGAAATCTCATCACAAGCCCAAGGCAGCGGAACTCTGTCAGCAATCCAATCAGAAGAGCATAGACAAGGCTGAGGTCTGCCCTTGGGAGAGCCAAGGTCAGACCCTTTTTGAAGATGAGAAGCATTTGATTTCTAAGACTCAGGTTCCCCCGGGGAGAGCAAAAGATGAGAATGGTGGTCAGCATTGTGCAGCCACTGTGTGTGCTGGGCAATATGAAGAACTGCCCCCTAGAGTTGTAGCATCAAAAATAGAGAATGAAAATCTCAACCAAATAGGAGACCAGGAAAATAAGACATCTTCCTATCATTCAAGTAATAATTTTCAGCAGCCTTTCACATTGCGAGCTGAGGTGTGTCCTTGGGAGTTTGAGACCCCAGATAAGCCAAATGCCGAAAATAGTGTAGCTTTACCTGCCTCTTCGACTTTAAATGCGAATAAGGTAACAGGGTCTCGAAAATAAGAGATCTGGGATACTTTCAAAGTAGCATTCCCCGGAAAGAAAAAGAAGAAACCCTGAATTTGATAAGACTGAAGATAGAAGGATCAAAAATTCCCAAAGAGTATTTGTCAATCAGGGAAAACATGGAAGGCATGGGTGGAGGAAAACTAAGGAGGGGAGAGAGACATCCTCATGGGGAAGTTAGGCTGGCCCCAAAGTCTTTCCCTGTAACACTAGGAAAATCTTTACATTCAGCATGTTTAGAGGAAGTAGCCCTCAGTGTCTGCCCCTGACCAATATTTACCCATGGGACTTTGGAGATCCTAAGCCAGGCAAACCAGAAGACACAGAAGAGGTATGAGATTTGCAAAGAAGAAGGTATAAATGAATATGACGGAAATTCTAAGTAGCTGACTGAAAAGAACTTACTTTACCTATATAATCTTGATAGCACTGCTAACTTAATGCATCCCAGAATACCTTTTATATCAATGATTGCTCTCATTTTCTTATAAATGTATGTTTCAGTACATTGTGTGTCTCATATTCAAGCATTCCAGATTGTATAATTTTTGCAAATAACTTTGATATTATGTGACACACACTTATGCAATCTTCAGCTACTCAATTGTTCTTGCAACTTACAGAATACCTGTTATCTATCAACTTTAGTTGATTCTTGAAGTATAGTAAGCTTTCTCTGGCTTGGGAAGTCATAATTGTTATGAAAAAAATATTTCAGTTTTGTGATTTATATATTGCAAATTTGGATTACCTATTATTTCACTTCATGGTTTGTTATACTGTCTTAATCAGGGTTTTTAATACAAGTTACGTTACTTGTTTTGCACTTCTCGTTAGGACTGAGAAGCTTTATTAATATCGGAGATCAAATGGTCCAACATAGTCTATGTCTCAATTAGTTAAGGACAACTTATCTATTGTTTGAAGTCAGAGATAGATGATGCCTTCATTCCAAATAATTATCCCTTTTAACTCTTTCAGTATTTCATACTTAGCAGCATTTTATAAGGAAGAAGCTAAGAGTGAGAACAATATACTGTGCATTATTATTACCATTGGAAAGGGAAGACTCTAGGAATGACATGAGAATTACTGTAGAGCCAGGAAATTTGCCTTTCAAAGCAGATGGAAAGGGAGCTCCTGATAGCACTTTCAAGGGGTTATTTTTTTAAAGAAAAAAAATATGATTACATCAATATTATTATATGGTGTATTTTTATTGTGCATACTAAATATAGAATATTTTCAATGACCTTAAAGTATTTATTCTCATAAACTCTTATTCATTGCTTCAGCTAGGGCTAGAACTTGCTGGGCTCAGATCCCAAAGAGATTTATAACCCGGTTTATTCCAAGCCTATAAGGTGGTATGGGCTCATCCTTCTCCCAAGCACTTGAAAACGTACAAGTCCTGCAAATGACCATTGTGAACCATCTAGTTCAAAATGTAAAATGCAGAGGTTTATTTGCAAGGCAGAACAGTCCCCAAAGCATAGTTCATACAATTTATTTCACTCCACACTGGTCACTTGGTGTGAAAATCCTAAGTTGCTGACTTGGCCCTGTTAGTGTGACTGTACAAGGAGATTCTATTTCAAAGCTCAGTTTCACTGTATTTAAAGATGAGTCACTTAAACATGGGACCCAGACTTCCCTTTCTCTCACCCGAAACACTGACATCTCAACGGCTTATCTGGCCAGGACACTTCCAGCAGAAGTAACTTTTTGATTTCATGAGCAACAAGAGACACATGCTAGGAGGATAAAAGATGAGAAAGGGAATCAGAGATGGATACAGGGCTGTTCTTGGAGAATAGCATTCTCAGTGGATGATAAAAATGAGGACTTCTTTGCATTCATTATCAAAATTTCCTCAATGGTTTTTATTCAGGAGTAAGTGAGCCCTTCACCATGTTGCAAAGCTGTGCACAAATCTCCCTCGCCCAGTTCCTCACTTTGTGCATTACTCAGGTTTGTGGGTAGGTTTGAAGACATAGGAATTCTATTTTTCCGTGTGTTTCCTTCATTTATTTTTTCTTCCCTTCCTTTTCAATCAAGGCCTATCTACTTGGTAACTTAGAAATACAATGTTATGGTGTATGTGTGTACCTGTTTCTAGATCCACGTACTTGTTTATGTCTGAGATCAGTTAGCACTTTATTCACTTTTTGAGAAATAAGCAGTCAAGCATCAGTGACTTTTTATTGCACTTCAGAGTAATCCTGCTTGAGGTGTGGCTTAAAGAAGACTTGCCAAAGTTCACCTTAGTCTATAGATTTTTCTCCACCAGCATAAATCAGCAAGAGTGCTTAGGGTCTTTCCTAGAGTTTCATTGTCATTACTTGTCACCGAGAGAAGTTGAAATCTATAATCTATAATTCTTGAGTTTATTTTCCCAGATTGATAATAAGGAAGTGATATAAACACTAATAAGGTCACAAACACTTGCTAGGTTGTCCTTCTCAGTGCATGTGCGAGCTGCATCCTGTCCTTGTTTTTAAGCCAGGGTTTATAAATAAGTAGATTTATACCAATTTAATAGAACTGTATATTTTATGCCAGAATTAAATGCTTTACGACATGAATTATAACTCAACCCATTGTAAACTTCGGTGGCAATATGGATTTGAAACTGGACAGTTCTCTTGTATTTGCTTCATAAGTTTCTGCATGCAAGTGATGACAGGTAGGACTGAAAAAACACTGCCTTTGACTTCTAGCATTTAGTAACTGAGAGCTGTAGAGTCTATAAAGCTATAAGTCTCTTCACTCACCCTGTGGTTATTCTGAAACTATTATCTGAAACCCACCATGAAATGTTTGGTAAATTTATGTTGTGACATGTTGCAGCATGTAAATAATTATAACATCTCTGCAATAAAACATTTATATGAAAGTGATTTGTGGTGATTTGTATGTTCATCTATTGAAAATCAAGTTGATTTTCCCTAGCCAACTTTAGAAAGAATCCTATATATCTTTGGCTTTGGCACACTTATGTACATACATTCTCATATTGCCTATTTATAGGAATGTATGATGAGCCAAATGCGGTCTCAAACATACAGGTAACGATTTTGAGCCAATAAAACCTGTTAGGACCAGTGCTTTTGACTTAAAAAAGCTCTAGCTACCTTAAGCTACCTTTTTTTAATTTACTCAACACACATACCAGGCAATCTGCTAAGCAATGACGATGATCTTTAGATGAACAAGAGATCCAATAACAGTCAGTCCCATAAATTATCCAGACACTGCTGTGATAAAAGAGAGGAGATTCTGACAAAGTCACTAAGTCAGTGCAGGCTCAATAGAGAGGGCAGGTACACCAGGCTGAAATTCTGCAGAGGCTTTAGGTATGAAAGGGAAAGTGTATAAAGCTAGAAAGGTAATTGTGCACAGCCTTGCATGCCATGCTTCAGGTTAACTACAGCCTCATCTTGATATCCTGGGAACTGTCAAAATCTTTAAACAGGGGAGTAATGAAGTCATGTATGAGAAGGGTCATTTGGGAAGCAACCCAGAAATGGACCTACGTGGAAAAAGACTAGAGGCAGCTAGATCAGTTAGAAGACTAGTATGGGAGTCAGGGTAAGGGAAGGTCTAAGGAGGAGAGGAAAAGATTACTGGTTATTTCATCAAAATAGCATCTTCAAATGGGTTTATTGTTATGTTATACTCCTATGAAGTCAGAACAATCCAAGTAACTAGATAACTATGTCGAATATAAACATTCCCCTTAAGTTTGTGGACATTTTGGATAATTTCCAAAGTTTTAAAAGCCCTCACTGAGGATCAAGAGACCTCATGTCATCTTCTCTGAGAAAAGCTGTGAAATAGGATACCAGCTTCATGCCATGGGAAACCTTGATAAGCAAACTGGGCTAGGAAAGAAGCAAAGGGCTTGCTGCAGCATGGACTTCAATTCCTATCTGCAAGTGGCCACCCTCTGAGGCAGCTCCAGGAAAAGAAGCCCTGTGACAAGAGGGCAGAGGAGGGAGCTGGATCTACCTTATCCCTGTGATCTTTGCTTTTAAGGATTCATAGTGAATGCCCTTTCCCCACTCTTCACAGCATTGTGTATTCCACAGTCTATGGACTCTTGGTACTCATACACAGAATCAGTAGTTTCAGCTCTTTGAGTGAGCCTAAATGGCAAAGACAAAAAGTGTGCGGGGATTAACAAATCATGAAAATTTTATTGTGCTTTCTTATATGATGATCAAATGGAGTTTTTTCAGTGTTTGTTAGAATTGCTAAGTTGATGGCTGTGTGATTTTTTCATATATTTATGAATAAAGATAGACATTGTTTCTTTACTCTAAATTTAGAACTTTTATGTTAAAAATACCTAAGGAAAATATTTCTATCAGAAATTGACTTTATCACACACAAAATAACCATGTAAAAGTAACTTAAGAGTTTATTATATCAGCATATTCCATCCTTTTCCCCTTGAATAGTTATGAAGACAGAAATAATATCCTTCCAGTTTTGGTCATTTTCTCTTTAAACATTTGTTTCTTGAGAATTGCAAGGCCAACTACAAGCACATTGTATGTTCTAATTCAGTGTTAACTGGCTGAAAGGCAGACAATGGAATGTATGATTTTTAATTCCCCTCTCTTTCTCATCTTGGTGATGTGAAAATAGTACTTGTCCAAAATAAAACAGTTTGATCAAATGAAAATGGAAAATGAGAGAAAAATATAGGAAAAGGTCTGTTCTGCCCAGTAGTCACATTTCTAGAAAGAAAAGTAAGCTAAATATGCAGATACAAGGTTCATGACAGTTGTTATAGAGCACACTCCCATTTCAGTTCAAACAGCCACAGGAGAGGGGATGGGAATGCCCGCTTTTGAGCATACAAGAGATAGATTTTGTAAAGAGTTTTTCCCCAAACATACCATGGGGCTTTGTTCCTCCAGGCCTTTTGTCTTGCTGTTTGGTTTCTGTGAAATTCTTTCCCTCCTCCTCCTCCCTGTCAATGTCTTCTGTATGCTTCCATACCAGTATGTTCAAGTAATTTATTGTTCATGTAATTCTTCCACACATTCCCAATTCCAAAGTGTGCCTCGCTCTGAGTTCAATCATTATTTGCCAAATTGAAAATGTTAATTAGCAATCGCTGTCTAAAGTACACTCAAAGACAAAGAGAAATCCGGGGGTTGGATGAAAATTTGCCGTAGTTTCTAAAATGGGCTTCCATCTACCTCCTGGCCATTCCTGGAAAATGTACCGCTGATGGCTAAACCACGTTAACTGTGCTCCCAGCATAGTGAGGTATTGATTTGTCAACATAAGGAGAAAGAAGCCTAAGGTTTGGGCCATGGCCCTGTTTGTTGGAGCTATACAAAAACATTTCCATATGTCATAAAAAATAAGAAATATTTACGTTGGCTATAGGAATTTGCTTGCAGTTATTTGAACTCTTTCTGGAAATAAAGCATGGGGGGTATTTATAATAGATACCCACATAAAAATCGATCCTGATACCAGCCTTTTAGGTGTTCTGAGAAATGAGTAGTTTGAACAAACTATTGGGATATTTGACTGACGTTAGAATTGCTCATCTATATATTGCATGTTGTATAGAAGTAGTCATAATATGCACACACATACTTTGTTCTAGATGTGAACAAAAATATAAAGGTTGCATGTATATGCACACACTACTTGTTTATAACTTGAAAAATCATAAAAGGCATTCAAATTTTCCAAATACATAAAGATCATAAAAACATTTTTATTTTTCTCACATCTTAAAGATTATATGCTTCCTCCAAGTGAATGGGTCTGATCCCTTGAAGCTGAAAATATTTGTGTTCTCAAGATTCTGTTCTCCTGAGCTAATGCTTGACCTTTGGGGAGCATCTTAAGTATCAAGGGTATAAAAATAACCTGGCATTTACAAAGACTCGCTCCTCCTCAGCTCAAAGAGCTCGTTGTTACAGGAGTTCTTACAGGCACTTCACTCACCAGTGTGTACTCCTTAAGGCACATTCCACTCTAAGACCCTATTTTATTTATGTATGTATTTATTTTGGTTTATCAAGAAAGTACTTATATTTTCCGATTCATTTAAAATATCAAAATTCTGGTAATCCATTTTCTTCATTTGTATCCCAAACATAAATAGAAGTCAATTCTTTATATAGATTACCATTTAGCAGCCGCACTTTCTTGATTTTTAAAATTCTCCTTTTAAATTTCATCTGAAAGATGTTTTGGTTTATTTGCCATAATTGTTATCCTGCATTATAATACCCATGTTTTTCATGTATGGGATGTCTCACAGCCTCAGTGTTTAGGTACAGACCCAAACCTGGAAGTAAATTAGTGCTTGACAATGATTTGTAGCCAAAATGGGTAAGAAATGCTGCAAACACTAAAAGCACAGAGGCCCACTCTGAAAGAGGCCAGATGTAACTGGGAGAAGGTTGTTAAAGCCTAGTGCTAGTAATGCATCAGAAAAGAACAACAACCAAAAAAAAACAACAACAGGGGGATAAGGGTCAACAAGAAAGAAATAAAAACAATTAATAGCAAAAGCTGAAGCTGTGGATTGAACAAATAAGAGCAGAGATTAATAGTAATGGGGCCAGCAAAATACAGACTGACAATTGTGCACCAAGTGTCCTCAATAAATGGGCTGTCTAGGGTCCTGAAGTATAAAGACAAAAAAAAGGAAGGAAGGAAGGAAGGAAGGAAGGAAGGAAGGAAGGAAGGAAGGAAGGAAGGAAGGGAGGGAGGGAGGGCGGGAGGAAGGAAGAGAGGAAGGAAACTGTGAAAAGCACAATGCTATAGTACAATAAATATACTAATACTCAAATACTCAACACAATCATTTCATTCATCTTTAAAACATATACCCTTAATAGCCCTAGTGAATAAAAGGACACTCCATTACCAAATTCACACTGTGGCCACAATAAATTGTGTTATGTTCACTAAAAGAAAATGTACTCTCTTCCATTCAAGAGTTTAAAATCCAGCAAACATAAAACAAAGCTAACACAGATAGATAGTTCATAAAAAGATGTACTCAAGGTGTTTTAATTTTTTGTGAATCTCTTGACAAGTGGTTCTAAGGGAACATTTAAAGCAGATTTCTAGAAAATTACCTTCATGAGATGGAAAAATCCAGTTATTATTCCTAACATCAACTTAAAATTTTTATTTTCATTTACAATAGTTGGTTTGCTTGAGGGGCTTCTAAAACAACATACAGTAAAGAATAAACTGTAAAAATCAAGTCAGAATGACCCTACACTTAGATATACAGAGAAGATGTAGTTCCATTTTCCAACATGGCTCTGATTTTCTTCCCAGGCCTTCTCCCCTTTGGGAGAAGAGCCCAGTTTTGATTTGCCAATTACCAGTATTTCAGTCTCTTCTTAGTTTAAGCACTTTCCTTTCTGTTTATAAACATTCACTCTCCTTTTTTAAAAAAATGTGCTGGTAAGAATCTATAATAATAAAAGCATAACATGCTAATTAGACTGGACAGTCGAATGATCTTCCAGACGTCATCCCAGATGTGCTACCAGATGAAGCCATGGCAGTGGGGGCCAAGGCAGAAGTGATTAGGGGTGATCAGGCAGGCAGGCAGAGTCAGTTAGGGGTGATCAGGCAGGGAGGCGAGTGGTTAGGAGCCAGCAGTACCAGATTGCGAGAGGGGTGTCCGACTGCCAGCAGTCTGACATCCCCCAAGGAGTCCCAGATTGCAAGAGAGTGCAAGCCAGGCTGAGGGATGCCCCCCCTCCATCCATGAATTTTGTGCACTGGGCCTCTAGTACTTAATATGAGATCTACCCTTTTAACAGCATTACTGTCTGAAGATGCTATGTTGTACAGCAAGTCTCTACAACTTACTCCTCTTGCATTACTGAAATGTTAT